AGAAGCATCTCCTGGTTTATTTTAAAAGTTGTGCTGGACACTTTCTCCAGTGTTGGCAAATATGGGTGTACTTTGTATGAAGAAAGCTCTCCCACACCTGCACAGGAGGAGGTTCAATGGGCAATAAATTGGAGAGGTGCACAGGAGTGGGATGTACACAAATAATCAATGAGCAGCCACAATGTAGCAAACTCAACACAAGTCCCTGTAGGAGGGTGACTTTATCACCTTATAGGCAGGTGAATTTATTTTGAAGCAGTACTGATTTGACTCACGTTCACATTCTCCTACCCATGTACTCACCAGATGGGTGTATCCGTCTGAGCTTGCGGACACCAGGATGCGTGTGTCCATCTTTGTGATGACTTTGATGATGAGGGATGGTGCCATCCTGTCCTCATCAAATTTCCTGGGTTCCCCTTAGACTGGTGTCCATGTGCTGTCTCTGGATGTGCCTTTTGTACCCTTAGGTTGCCGGCAGCAACTACACTGCCCATCCTGCTCCAACTCTGGGAGTTACCAGGATTCACTCCCTGCCCTTTGTTTCCAGACCGTGTCCTGGCCAGCTGCACCCAGTGTGTGCTGGCACCTTGGTGGCCTCATCATCAAGGTCCCACCAGCACCCGCCGCTCTTGCAGCATTCACTTACAGCCTTTGGTCCCTTCTGGTGCCTCACTCCCACCCATTGCCACTCCTTCCCCATTCTTACCAGTCTTCCCATTTCTGTTACTATTACAAACTTCCTCTGTCTTTAGAAGACAGTTAAATCTGCGAGAATTTTTTTCTGAATGAATTCTGTAAGAAATTCTGTAAGAGATTTTCTTGTGGGGGAAATTAGCATTATGGACATTAAAAGGCAGGAAATCGTGTATAATTTTTTTTTTTAAATCAACTGCTTCAAGGGAGAAAATGAGAAATGTTTTTGAGAACAGCTTTCCTTTATATGAGAAAGCAGAAGCTCCATTCCTCTCTCTTCCTCACACCATCTGTGTTTATTAACTTGAACTATTTTAGAAACAAAACATCTTACATCTTTCATATAAGCCAGGCTAACACAATTCACATAACCATCAAAGCAAGTGCAGGAGTCATGGAAGATAAAAAGCTTTCTTTTATGCTTTCTTCTAAGTGTCAGAGGCCTAAGAAAACTGCCTGAAACCCTCCACAGTTCATGGGTAGTACAAGGCAGACGTTAGCCAAATTTGTGCAGACAACCTGGATCAGCCCTCTGGTGCATCCAACCCAAAATCTTGTTTCCAGCAGTGGCTAGGAGAGAACAGGCAAGGACGATGGCAGGAATAGGGCAGACACGCATAGTAACGTCCTCCTCCTATTGTTCCAGCCTCTAATAATTTTCAACAGTTTATATGTGTTTAGCAACTCTCAGTGGATTTCTCTTCCATTAATTTGTTCTTGAACCAAACTGTAACCTCCCCAACATTCATTGGCAAAGGGCTCAGTGGGTGGACTGCTTGTTGCATGAAGTGCTGCCCCTTTTACTTATTTTAAACCTCGTTCTCTCATAGTTTCTTTTGATGCTCCTGAGTTCTTCTGTCTGGTTCTGCCAACAGCCTTAGACATGTGGCACCTGAGTCCAGCTAATGGTCTTTGAATAACCAGTCAATAACTAAATAATAGTTGAATAACTAAAAAAAAATTACTTATCTCCCAGCATCCTGAAGGAGCATGACCATAGGTTATGCTCTACCTTTCGTAACCTGGTTTGGGTCTTCCCGTGGCCCAGGTGTCAGCTCTGTTATGGAAGTGCATTGTGGGTGCTGCTCTGCAGAGGGGTATCAAAGTGGAAATCAGCATTGGAAGTAGCATAATTTATTTCTTTGGGAACAAATACTTCAGATCGATCAGTTATAAGGGTGGTTTTTTTCTCCAAATTCTCCAATTGTGTTAAGCTTATGAATCTATCTTTAAAGAGAATCTAAATCGTTTTAGCTCTGCTTTCTGTTGCATGCCATGTCTGAAGCCTGAGCTTGTTTCTCCAGCACGCAGCGTCTAGCATGGCACAGGCATTTCCCACACCAGTGAGTGCGTTATGATGCTGATGCCCAGCAGGTAAGTGTTTCACCTGAGTGTATTTACCAATCATTCTTTAAAAGGAAGATTTTTTTCTTCCAGAGGCTTTCAGATTCTACACCTTATTTCACGTTTGTTGCCTATAAGCTTCTCACAGTCCAAGTAAAGATGTTTCTAGTGGGTTTGGGGTGAGCAACACCCCCGCGAGGACTCACGGTGGCAGCCCGTGACATCCCCTCGGTGGTGGGGCTGCTCTGGTTTTTGACTGACCCTCTGCCAGGACCAGCTAGGGTCTTCCTCTTCCATCTCTGCTGGAAGGGTGGTAGCTCTCACCCTTGGTCTGGAGGAAATATGATGGAGAAAGAGAAATGTAGGGTTTGGGGTGGGGTGGCATGGTGATCCAGCAGAAGCAAAGACATCCTCACAGCTGGGTCTCACCTGACTTTCAGCAGGTTGGCATTTACATTTTATTTATACATTTAACAGAAAACAGGTAATTAGCTGTAAGATAGGTCATAAAACAGCAGTAATATAACATAGACCATACTTGATGTAACACTGTCAGAAAAACTCTGTATGTAAGCCCACAAGGCACCACGCATGGAGAGTAAGCACAAGAGATTGCTCCCCAGGTGCTGGTCCCAGGGAACTCCCGAAATTCTGGCAACGAGTAATTTTTATGGTTTAATTCACATTCTTCCTTTACCTGTAAACAATTTGGTCTGGATGTAAACCGTCAGGAAATGCAATGATGGGACAAACGCTCAGGGCTGTGCAGAGGCCATGCCAAGCTTGACTCCAGGGATGGCCGGGACTTGGGGCTACCTCCACATGGCTGCCTGTGGCCAGGGCAGAAGGGCACACAGCCACGTGGCTCCTCTGGGCAGGGCTCTTCAGCGTCTCAGCTCAGGTATCCCTTCCTAGGATGCGCAGCAGTGGCCAGGACAGGCACTTGTCCTCCACACTTGTTTTTACTCTTGTTTTCCCCATGCTTGACTAAAGACCTGTCTATCCTGAGCAGGAGCAAACCTCCGTGCACATGGCCACTTGGGTTGTCTGTAGGCTGAGGTCTGTCGTGAAGGGCAGGTGGACTTTAAGCCCTTCTAGGGTGAAAAATCAGGAGTAGATCTATAGCAGCTAATTATCGCTCTTAAACTGTACCTGAAAAAAATAACTCAGTGCAGTGACCTCCATGGGATTACTCTGAGGTTAATATCAAGGCCGTATTACTCTTTTTTAGCTTCCTTTTCCAACTTCCAACCTGTAGTTGAATTTTTTTTTTCAATCAGCAAAACACAGGAATGTCCCAGAAATGCTTCTGGGATTGCAGTAGGAATCAGGTAGGGAGCATGGGGTTCAATATTTTATCTTAATTTTTAAAATGTTTTCTCAATTCCAGAGCTGAAAATACGTATTTTTTAAAAGCACAGGTCCTGAAGTGCAGAACCCCTTTTCTGCAGCAAATCCTCTCACCAGGGAGCTGTGGAATGTGCCACACCTCTGTTGACTGATTGGACAATTGACGCCTGAACTTTTAGTCCATTTTCTATTGCCTCTGCTTTTAAGGCTCAGTCTTAGCTCATCACAGTCAAAATAATCCCCGCTAAACTGCCGTGAGCGTGCGCCCATACCATAGCAGGCAGCTGTGGGAAGGGGA